TATTTACGATTTTTTTAAAACTTTACTCTTATGAAGTTCTTTCAATGGAACAGGTTCCAAATTCAATAATTTCTTTAGTCTCGTCAATTCTTCGAAAAGGAGAGGATGATATAACTCAACTGTATGCATTGAGGACCATTGAAAACATTTGCAGTCAAGGAGTAACTTGGGCATCTCGCTTTACTATCCAAGATGTGATCAGCAACCTATGCTACATATATAGAGCTTCTGGGAAATCTGAGAATATGAGGCTCACTGCAGGTTCCTGTTTGGTTCGCCTAGTCCGTTTCAATCCTTCCTGCATTCAGTCAGTTACAGACAAATTATCTTCCAAGGACATGGCATGTGCCCTTGTTAAGGGCAATCCACGTGAGCAGCAAATCACCTTAAATCTTCTAAACATGATCATGTTTGGAGGTCATGTCTTACCCAGCATTGGAAGGTACCTTCTACCTTTAATGGAGGAGAAGAATCTTGTCTCCAGTCTCGTATCCCTTATTGAGCAGGGAAGTGAAGTTATGAAGGGAAAGGCAATTGTTTTCGTGGCTTTTCTCTGTAAGAGTGTAAGACGATGGTTGCCTCACTTCCTTTGCAATCCCAGGTTACTTTCATCCGTGGACAGGCTCGCAAAGGAGAAAGACATCTTTGTCCAGCAGTGTTTGACTGGATCTGTGCATATTGTGGCATCTGTGGTGCCAAGTTTGTTGGATATGATTATAGGAGATATTCAACAAATGATGGGAGGACGACGTCTTGGGCATATCTCCTCTCCCCTTACTAGTCGTGCGGCTCCAAAAACCAACATTCACTTGTTTCCTGTTGTCCTTCATCTTCTTGGAAGTTTAACCTTTAAGCGCAAGGTTGTTAGTCCTCAGGTGCTACAGCAGTTGTCTGATCTAATCAGGCATATAGAGACACCATTTCAGGTAGGGATATTTTGACTGCTAAATTCCACACACGCATACGCATCCAGTATTTTAAATTATATAATTATTATTTTGTCCTCTTGAATTTTAGTTTATCTTAGGTTGAAATGAGGAAAAAAAGATTTTAAATTGAACATATTAAATGAACTGACTGTTGGCATGCACACAGGAATATTACTGTTGCCACCTCTGTAGAAATGTTATATCTGTAGAGTTTACGTACTCCACGAATCTATTGTGATGAGAGTGGCTGAGTATAGATGAAACACGTGATAACATTGTTTCTTGATGTGTTTTTTCTTTTTCACGTTTCAATTCATTTACAGGGCAGGGATGACTTCCAGATAACATTACTTCGGGTTATTGAATCCATCACAGAGGAATTCTCGGTCATACTTGAAAACCCAGATATTTTTATCCATAAAATTCTCCCTAGTTTGGCTGTTCTTTACAAAGGAAACAAGGATGGAGATGCAAGATTCTTATGCCTAAAGGTTCTCTTCGACGTGATGGTCATTTTCCTGAATGAACCGTCCTTGGATGGGCAAAAGTTGGAGGATCTAAAGCAGATAGCAAATTTGCACTTCCTCCCTCTCTATCCTGCCTTGATAGAAGATGATGATCCCATACCGATGTATGCTCAGAAACTTCTCGTGATGCTCATCGAGTGTAACTACATCAAGATTTCAGATATTTTACATCTAAAGACAATTTCCCAATGCTTTGAGTTTTTGCTTGGCGACCTTTCAAATGCAAATGTAAGTAGTGTAAAGCTGTGTTTGGCGCTGGCATCTGCTCCTGAAATGGAATCACGAATACTTTCTCAGCTCAAAGTCGTTAGAAGAATAGGAATTCTGTTAGAGTTCGTGTATGCCAAGGATATGGAGGATTTTCTCGAACCAACTCTTGGCCTTTGCAGAGCTCTCCTTCTGCGTTCTGTTAGTTGTAGAAAGGGCTTCATCTACTCAAAAGAACCGCTTCTTCTGGGTGATGGTACTACCGAGCAAAATGTTATTGTTAACCAGCAGGAATGCATTAGAGATATATCCGACTTCGGCAACAATTTTGGAGTCTTGTTGGAGTTGAGTGGGTCCTCAGAAGCCAATATTGCCGACATAGCCTCTGAATGTGTCGTGTTTTTAGTTATGGCGGCTCCTAGGGAAGGTACCACTGGTCTTCTGACAAATCTTCACAAGGTTAGTGTAATCCTGGAGTCCTGGCGGAGAGATGGATGCCTCTTGCTTGTGCAGAGAATGCTGCATTCTCTAGGTTACGCTTGTCGACAGTACTTGGCCCATGCAATGATATTATCGCTTTCCATGTCTGAAATTTCACGGATTGAGGCTATTATATCTGAGATCAAGAGTTCAGGCACGTCACGTTTAGCTAATGATGCAATGCTTGTGGCTATGGAGTTGCAGCGGCTTCATCGTTGTATTTGAAACCAGTGAAGTTGTGAGTGGCTAAATTGCCTAACTCGTTTTTGTCGATTCATCCAACAATTTTTCTTTGATTTTGACGATGAACTCATATCTCGCAGGTACTTTGTAAAATTGTGCCCAGTAAGATCTTTTGTTCTAATTTTATCATTCGTACAGAAGAGAAAGACCAACTGGAAAATGAGTGGAAAAAATGGATTTGAACTCCCCCAGATGGCATTGAGAAGGATACCCATCCAGTATCTACAATGTTCCGAACATGGAACGTGGTTCTTGGTGAGTTCAATTATTTATTTATTTGCCCATTTGTTACACACATTGTTACATGTCATCGAATTCTTATTGTATGTGTATATATCTTTGTACTGTGAATTTCTTCCACTGACATCTGCGCATATCTTTTGCTTTATCAGAGCATAATTTTATTTCATTTAACTGTTAATGCGTGGCTCCCTTGTTTCAATGTGACCATAGCTTTACCTTTCTAGGATCACTGCTTAGGGATTTTAATTTCATAAAAAACTCATTTGGTTTTGAAAAAATGCTGGTGAGCATTGAAATGTATAGCCTAGTACATTATGATACATAATGGAAGATTTTTTTTTTTTTTTTTTTTTTTTTTTTAATTTTTAGAGTAGATAGTCTTTCTTATCAAATGGTAGACATGTTGGTTTTCTATTCATTGGGGAGCCTCCTCTCCGCATGAAGAGAGGAGAGGTGTTTGACAACACTTTTGTTTAGATAAGGGTAACGTGTTCTTGTTGGATGTTTATCATCATAATAAACAATTTTCAGACATTAGTTAGACACTAATATGTACATAGTGTAAATATAGATCAAAGATTTGTTAAGTAATGTAAGAGAAAAATAATATACGTTAGGCGTAAATACATTTCATCTTTGAGAGCATATAAATGCATAATCGAATTATGTGTCATTGTAATGTTTATCTTAATTTTTTAAAAATAATGTATTCATATTGTGTTAAATTTGGTATCTTGTGCTTTATCTATACTTTCCAAACTTCTTAAATGAATGAGGAAAATATTTGTGGAGAATTACGAAGTATTGAAATTAAAATAGGTTGATGATATAACTCCTATAGACTTTGGAAAACATTGAAGTATTCATGTTAGTAAATAAATGCGATCACCAATAACTCCTATAGACCCAATGATTATGGTTTGACTTAGAAGTAACGCTTAATTGCCTTTCAAATAGGTTCACCAATAAAGATGTCGAATCAATTCCACGTTAGTTAATATAATTAACCCTTTTGTGATACTGCTTATAATTTATGGTAAAATGCATTACATTACGGTAATTGCATAATTATGAAATTAGTACCTAAGTTGCATAATACCTAAGTTTCCAAGTCAAGTTACTTCCTTTACCACGTTTATTACCATATAATTTTTCTAAATTTTTTAAATTTAAATACTAGGCTATAAATGTAATGAAACTTTTAATATATAGCCTTCAAAATTGGCAAAGATACCTTTTTTAAATAAGGTGTTTTGAATTTCTAATTTTTAATAAAAGTAATTGTATTTTAATTAGTCAAATGATACTCGAGTTTAATATTAAAGATGTATTAATTATTAATTATTAAATTATACTTGAGTTGGTCCATGTAATAATGTTAAGTTGTCCTATGGTTCTTTTTTTTTCCTACTTCATATAAATTTATACCAAGAGAGTCCGATCGATGAAAAAATTCTTTAAAAGCAATATAAACATAGATCGAATAAAATTTAAGAGTTTACGAGACTTTTTTTTTATTATTCTTAAAAATTAGTTGTATTTTAGGCCAATGAGTTAAATTAATTTTAAAATATAACTAGTTAATTTTTCAATTTGATTGTCATACTAATTAAAATCATTATAAATAAATTTTTAAGGTATATTATGGTATACTTATTGATAAATAGAAAATTAAATTATTTAAAATTATTTTAATAATTTGACTTTAAACTAATAATAATTAATTATCTAAAGATAATTAAGTTGTTAGAAGTAATTAGTGAAATTAAAAAACTATTATTTATTCCAATAAAATTGTGAAGACATTCACTTATTTATTTATTTTATTTTGAATAAACTCTATTAATTAATTTATTTTAATTTACAAAATTATTATAATTATTATTAGTCAATGTACACAAATTAGTAGAATAACTCAACTTGTTAGGTATATGTTTTAGATTAATAAATCAAATGTCGAATCTCTTTACCTCATATTTTTTTGAACTAAAAAATACAAAATAAAATAATAATAAAAGAGAAAATAATAATAATAATAATAATAATAATAATGGAGTTGAAGCCGAATCGAATGGAGCCGAGCCGAAGTTGTATTTTCAAAAAATTTAACGGCCGAGAGGTAGCCGACCATTGGAGCGGAGGAAATGGCAGAGAGACCCGCGCAGCCATCGTTACCATTTTTCTTTGCTTTCACTTCTCCCCTTCTCTGCTTCCATTTCCACTCAATTTTCTCTTCCGATTCTCCGCTTAGATCTCTCCAACAAACTCCTCACTCACCCACCCACCCACCCACCCCCTTTCCCTCTGCTTTATTTGCTTGCTCAAGTTCGAATTCAATCGCGTAATCGCTTCAACTGGATCGGTACTGTATTTTTACCCCATTTTCTGTGCTGTTCTTGATCGGATTCTTGGTGTTTTCTCAGACTCCGATGTTGTTCCCGCTTTCAATTTCGTGTATGTTGTGTGTCTTGAAGGGTTTGGCGAGTTTTGTGGAGAAATGGGTTACAGTTGGGGTCTGATACATTTGGTCTTTGAGATTTGTGATGATGGTTATAGTTTGATGAAGGGCGGTTTTCGATTATTTGAATTCGTGAGTTTGTGGGGTTAATTTGTTGGTTTTGTGCTAGATTACGGTTTTTCCAGCAGTCTCGGGTAACGTAAGAGTTGATCTGATTGTTTTTCTTAATTGCATAGGTGTGTTCATTGTTCTTATTTTGTTACCACCTCGCTTTGCCCTCTCTGGATGAATAGATCAATGGAGTTTATTACTATATCTACTTCATTTCATTAGTTTATGAAATTTTCCCATCTTGGGTCACTTCAACTACTTGCCTCTGGCTTTGATTACTAAGTTTTTCTGCAATGGCATTTTAGAAGTTGGTCGTTTCTTAAGCGGATAGATTCATGACTATGGAGCTTTTCGAAATTCATCCGGGCGAACTTAAATTCACTTGTAAGTATAAGTGAAATCTTGTTTAATACATGGTGAACATTCAATTACATATTATCAGGCAAGATGGCAGCGAGACCATTGCAGAATTTGACTTGCATAGTCTGGAGTTGTCTTAGATGAAAGTGTGAGATCCCACATCGATTGGGGAGGAGAACGAAGCATTCTTTAGAAAGGTGTGGAAACCTCTCCATAGCATACGCGTTTTAAAAACCTTGAGGGGAAGCCCGAAAGAGAAAACCCAAAGAGGACAACATCTGCTAGTAGTGGGCTTGGGCCGTCACAGAAAGTGAGGCTTAAATTATGATATAAAAGATCGGTAGGCCTGGACCGACTTGTTGCTTACATGTGCTAGCTTGTGATAAGAAGAAAGCATACCAAATCTTTTGAATTATTTAGCTAGTGGGAGTTTGTTTCTTGACCAGTGAAGTTGAAGCGTTCTATAACATTTACTTGTTAGTTAACTAAACTTTTTAGAATATAAAAGATCCCAATGTCCCTACCTGTTTGTATCTGCAAAGAACAAAAGATAGAAGAATGTTCACGCAGTGTTATTTTGACAAGTTTTGTACACTTTCTTTCTCCAGTTGAGTTGAAGAAGCAAAGTTCATGCTTGATACAACTTATCAATAAGTCTGAGCAACATATTGCTTTCAAGGTACATTATTCCAAATGGATCGCACAAAATATTTTCGTGCAAGTACCATATCTTTTCAATGTCGTGTTTGTTATAATTTTAATTAGTACAATTAGAAAAAAAAACGTTTTTACGAATAGGGTCCGAACTTGAAAAGAATCCTAAATCCTCGTTTAGCTTCCATGTTTAATATACGAGCTCTTTTCGCAGGTGAAAACTACATCTCCCAAGAGGTACTGTGTTCGACCTAATACCGGCATCATTAAGCCCAAGGATATGTGTGACTTCACAGGTATCTCTGCCTGTCATTCTTTTAAAATGTTGGTGGTGGTGTTAACATAGATTCGGCTCATGGACTTAACTATCAATCCATCTTAAACCATTTCAAAGATGTAATAAGGTGGACAATTTGATGCAATCTCGAAAGCCTCTGAAAAGTTTCTTTTTATTTTAATTTTATCATTTGTATTTATGCTGTTCAGCTCTGATGGATTACTTGCTCTTCACTCTTGGATCTATGCAGTCACCATGCTAGCTCAGCGTACAGCTCCAACTGATATGCAATGCAAAGACAAGTTCCTGGTCCAAGGCACGGTCATCTCCCCTGGAACACCTGAAGAGGACATCACATCTGACATGGTGAGAATTTGTAGTCGTTGCTTGTTTTGCAGGCCTTTTTCTAAGATTTTTGATATGCAAGGCAGTTTGCAAGAGATAAAGGCAAGCACATTGAAGAGAAGAAGCTGAAGGTTTTTCTTGTAAGCCCGACACCACCCCCTGTCTTGCTACCAATTAATGGAGAGTTGAAACTAAATTCAAATTATGAAAATTCCATGCCAAGAGATGGAATGCAGACAGGAGTTGAGAACATACCTCCATCTCATAAGGTTAGGCTAACTGTGCACCTCTCACGTGTGTATGTTGTATGTCTGTTGAGAACATTTCTTTACTTCTCTCTCCTTCTAGTCTCCACCTACTTCTTTCTGATTGGAGGATGGCGCCTAGTTTCAAATTATGAGGATATTATAATATGCGTATATGCAATATGGTGTGAGAATCCCACATTGGTTGGGGAGGAGAACAAAACCCCCTTTACAAGGGTGTGGAAACCTTTCCCTAGCAGATGCGTTCTAAAGCCTTGAGGGAAACTCCGAAAGGGAAAGCCCAAAAAGGACAATATCTGCTAGCGGTGGGTTTGGGCCGTTACATATGGTTTTTAACTGAAGCATATAGACTGTTTATAGTTAGTATACGTAGGTTAACTTTTGATGGAAAAACATTGTTTCGATTGTGGTTGAACTTTTTTTTTTCATAATTTATCTCTTGATTGGAAATTGATGTATTCTAGGTTGCTAAGGATTCCAATGGACTTGATACCCTTGAACACATAGATGAACTTAGATCAGTTGATACCCCAGTAGTGTTATCTCCACCTTATAAGGTATGGCCATACAAACAACTCTGTCATGTCATAACTGCTTATATTTATATTCAAATAATAAATATTCTTGTCAGTCTCTCTCTAGTTTTCATTTGTAAAGGGGATTTCCCATAGAGGTATATGCCTGTTTTCCATTGTTACATGCTCGAAATCCTTGAGTTTCTGGTCTTAATATTGCATGAAAAGCTACATATGGTTGTCGTATGGTTATCGATGTCCTACCTTCTTTAAATATATATTCTGTCTTTTTTCGTTGTGTGTTCGAATGATATTATGCGTATCAGGTAGCCGAGGGAGTTGAGAAAATTGATACTAGTAAAGATTCAGATGAGAATAGAGCAGCTGAGGATGCTGCAACGATACGAAATGAGGATATGGTGGCCGAACCAATTGACAATATTGAAACTACGCCAGCTGAGGAAATTAAGGAATCAAAACCGGCGAATGATCTGCCGAAGTTATACTTAACTAAAGACTTTGAAGAGCTGAAATCAAAGCTAACGCTCATGGATGCGGAGCTAGTTGAGGTATATGTCTTCTTTTGAAGCTAGATTATCATGTATGCCCTGTTGCAATGTTTATGTCCTTATGCTGCTAACTATGTCTCTACTTTAACTCACTAAGCAATCTAACTCCTCAGCAATTACTTACCTCCTCCTTTCCGTTCTCTCCCACGTTAATAACGTTCCTTATTCTTCCTTCCACGTCATTACTCGGTTAGGTATTCGTCGATACAACAATAATTGCCTCCTCAAGAGCATACTTATAGTGCGGGGTCGAATCTTCTTAGAAAGGAAAAAAAAATTCGTTTTAGTCACAAATCCTTTTATTAGTAATGCATATACATAAAGAGCAAGGATTCATAACGCCCAGTGTAGCTTTCATGTTGTTAGTTGCTACTAGATATAACTATTTTTTCTGCTAACAATGAATAGTTTATGAAACCTATGCAGGCTGAAGCTACCATAATGAGGCTGAAACAGGAGCGAATGGTAACGACTCGAGAAAGGGAAATGCTCAAGCGCGACTTAGTAAGTGTTTTTTGGTCTTTACCATAATAGGCTTAGATCAGATGCAAGCAAGCTCGTATCAAACCCCATATTCATGCGTTGCCATAAATATGACAATCTTAGCATATCGAGTTGCTTCATTGATTAGTTTCATTAGTTTGGGAATGATTAAAAATATGATTTGAGTTATCCATCCCTTCGTCATCTTTGAAAATGATGTGGGATAGTTTTCTCAATCTTAGCATCGTATCGAGTGGCTTCATCGATGTCACGTAACCATTGTCACTGTTTTCGGGATGGAGGAACCTATCAATTAGAGCCTTTATTCATGATGGGTTCTGATCATTACAGTATTGAGGCACCCTGATACTGATTTCTTGATGTAGGAGACATGGAGAAGAACTGGGCAAAGGAGTATCAAAGTGGGCTTCCCCTTAATATATGTTGTGATGGCTGCTTCTATCAGTCTTCTTATTGGATATTTCATTCATCCCTAGCAGAAGCACAACAAATCAATTTGTCTTTGTTGTATATTGACTTGATGTGTGTTCTTGCAGTCCAATTATTTTCATTGTAAAGCGTTTTTTCTCTCGATTATTTTATCGAATATCAGCGGGAGGATTTAAGCCTACGGATACAGATATCTAAATACTCGGGCCAAGAAAGTGAGTGTGGAGAGATTTGAACCTCTATTCTCGAGAAGATAGTTCTACGGTATAAACTTTCAAACTAAGTTAAACCTGTCATTATTCATTGGAACGATGTAAAATATCATTCCTTTGAACCATTGTTAAACATATTTAAGATAGAATTTTATGGCTAATAAGTCTAGCTTTCCAACGTTGTGCCTAAAAAGGTTATAAATTTTCAAAATTGTTAACTTTATTTACAAAGGTGTGGAAACTTCTCTGTACGAGACACGTTTTAAAACTGTGAAGTTTACGACAATACGTAACGGGTCAAAGTGAACAATATCTATTAGTAGTGGGCTTAGATCGTCACAAATGGTATCAAAACCAATCACTGGATAGTGCAAAACACTAGTCGAAGTTGGGCTAGATATTCTCTATAATTCTCTCCACAGTAGACATGTTTTAAAACCAAACAACGAGATGGTAGACGACACAATGTAATTAACTTTTCGTACATTTTTTTTTTTTGGAAAGTGTACAATACTTTTAATGTATTAAAGTGGGCTTCTCCTCAATAAATAAAAGATCCAATTTTTTATCCAATTTATTTGTAAATAATTATGCTCTTTTATATTTCTATAAATAATTAAAATGCATTAACTATATAATATGATACAAAGCATTTAAAATAAAAGATAATTATTGCAAAATAAAAAAAAAGTTTTTTTTTTTCAAATTTTCAAATGGGTCGTATGAACACTCATTGGTACAAGAAAAATATTAAAAAAAAAACAATGAATAAAAATGGAATAAAATCAAATGACAAATCGAAAATATTTTGATTTGGCAGTTGCCAATGCCACCTCACATATTCTTCTCTTTGCGCGGCGAAAGTGGAGAGAGAGAGAGAGGACTGTCTTCCGGTTCAAATATTTCAGATAAGAAAACCAAAGACATTGCGAAGGAGAGAGAGACTGAGAGAAAAATTCCCGCTCTCTCTCTCTCTCTCTCTCTCTCTATATTGCTTCCTCCATAGGGTTTCCTCTTTCCGCTTCCACTGTTTTTTCTTCTCTTCTTCATGTCATTCGGCCCTCACTTCCGCAGCATTTCTCTCAAATTTCTCTAAATTCGTTTCAGCAATTGATCCGAGTTTTCCTGCTTTCTCGCCGGTTCCATGGGTTTGGATGATTGGAGGAGCTCTCGTGCAGGTTAGTCGCGGTTTGCCGCCATTTCCTCATTGTTGATAGCTCGTTTCGCGCTATGCTTTTATGAGTTTCTTTCTTTTTCTTCTTCTTTTTTTTTTTGGTTTATTTGCTGCTTTTGATTTGCTATTCTGGTATATGATTTTGCGCTGTTTCTCTTTTGTTTTGTTTTATTATGTTGCTTTCTTTGTTCGATTGATTATTTGGTTATTCTGCTTGCATTGCATGTCGTTTGATTGTTCGTATTATGAACAGTTGAACGAGTCGTCGTTCTTCCTGCGTGCTCGTTTTTGTTATTGCCTGCGAACTATATGATTTTCGGTATTGAACGAGTTATATAGTTAGACAAATCAGTTGATGTTTTTTCCGGCTGAGAACTACCGCTTTTTTTTTTTTTTTTTTTAATCAACATATTTAATTTTGTACTTTAGCTCTATATTTCGAGTGTAATTTAGCGACGAGGAAATGATTTCGTTATTACTGCAGGTGTGTTCGTCTCGCTGTTTTTTTTTCTTTCTTTCTTTCTTTCTTTTTGCAGTTAGCTCTTTGATTCTTGTGTGTGTGTGTGTGTGTGTGTGTGTGTCTTTCCATGATTATAAAGATGTTTTTATTCCCAGCGGTGTAGAATCTCTTCCTTACGGTACATAATACATTTGCCTGGTCTCAATGGTATGCTCAGTTGGAAATGGGAGAATGGCAGTGATGACAAGGCTTCTGGCTGCAGGGAGTTTCTCCCGAACTATTGCTGGTAAACCGAGACATTATAAGTTTTTCATTTGTCTTTTCATTTTTTTCTACATTTTTAATGATTTTGTTTGTTTGGTTGTCAGAAGTCATTGTTGGTTAGATTGATCATTGTAGGAATAATTCCACGACCATCTTTTTAGTTACATGTCATCTTTCATTCAGAGTCATAATTAATGTCCTTTTACTATTGGACAGAGGAAGTTGGTCATCAGAAATTAGCTTCTGAATTTATCTGCAGAGAACTTCGTGATGCAGATGAAGCAAATTTAATTGATGAAGAAGGTGTGTACCTAATCCTACTTTAATTATTGCTTGGTAAAGTGTTGAATTTTTTTATTTTTTATTTACAAATGAACATTCTTTTTTTATTATAGAATTCGTATTTTTTATGGTACTGTGGGATGGGTAATGACGTTATTGTTAGTCGGTGGTTGGATTTTTGAAGCAGCTTGTTGACTCTCTCTCTCTCTCTATGTATATATTTACAGATATGCACGTCTTTGGTTTGAAGCCTATGGTTGATCCTCTGAACTTGGTAAGGTTTGATGACATTAGTAGTTTATCTATTTAATGTCCTGTCATTTTTACAACGATGAAGCAAAACAATTTTCTCAGACGGTCCTTTTCAGATCTTGTTTTACCACTTCGCAGCTTTTGTTACTTTTTTGGATAAGGTTTATCCAGTGTATAATAATCTACAATCTATTGTTTTCTAATTCAAATTTACCTTTTCCGTCCTTTTATTTGATCGTGTAGGTTTCCTGCAATATTTGTAAGAAGCCAGTAAAGGCCAGTCAATATATCATTCATTCAGGTTTGTTATTATTATTATTGTTGTTGTTATTATAATTTTTGTGGGTAGGGCACTTTCTCGTTTTCTGCAGTCAAATTATGTGAAGTTTCCCGCCTTTTGTTGTTGATATGGTTTTAATGTGTACTTTCATTAATGGTTTAAACTCTTTTTTAGATCTTAGCGTATCTGTGTCCAATGTTGACATCAACTCACAAAGATAGGTTTCCATGCTTGTCTTCTGCTATACTCAGCTTAATGCTATGGTTAGATCTCATGTTCATAGTGTTTATACCCATTTGAAGAAATATTTTATTTTGAACGTTATAGGGATTCCATCAATACTTGTTTGGGATGTAATAAATTCTGTGGTCATTTTGTACTCCGATTCAAATCTTTTGGTCATATCAATCGTAATCCGAACTTGCTACTGCTTTTTGTTCTGTTTTCTTACCTGTTTATAATTAATTTTTACCGTATATTATGGTTGAGGTATATTAGTATCAGTAAGAGGTTTGTATTATATTTTGTTAGTTTAACTTTACACTTGAGTGGACCAATGGATTTTGAAAATTATTGTCAGGATCCCCATTGTAAACTCTTATATGCATTAGGTTGGACATGATGCTTTCCTGAGTTATCTTCATGTCATTTTATCAGAACTATGCAGGTCACTAGGTTCCGGACAAGGGATTATTATGGACCTCGATAGTGGGATGGGCCATAGGAAACACTCAAGGAAGGAGAAGAAAAAGTTGCTACCTGCTGATGCTAGTATCCTTCCATATCACATTGATTTTCTGATTCTAATTGGAAGATGAACCTCTCTCTTTTGGTCTTCCCATTGTTCCCGTTTCTTTCATGCTTGAGTTTGTGCTGAATTTGAGAAAAGTTGTTCAATGTAGTTATGAGCTTCTTCTCTCTCTTTCTCTCACTCCCTTTTACAATTTCTCGGTGCAGGCTAGTCTTGTTATTGGGTTTACATATTTTTTAGTTCTTAATCTCTCATAGATATATCAGGTGGGGAGAAAGAAGGGTCTGAATCAACATATGCCGACTATTCTTCTGCACCTGTGCTTCCAATTAGTAACGAATTTGAAATGGTCAAGTTGACAAAAAGTAAATCCTCCTTTATCCATAGTTTGTGCTCTCTTTTAATCTTTTTCTTTTCTAATTTTTGACTTAGGATATGTGAGGATTACTATTATTATTATTATTATTTTTCTTTTATACTGTTGTGGCTAGAAATACATATGTTCTGATTCCCACATGATCTAGGTGCAATAATTTTATATTGAGTAATTTCTAATACTTGTAACGGTAGTGCCTGGATTTCTATTGTTTTGTTCCTGTATGTACTAGTGCAGCCATGGAGAGGGAAACTCATTCTCTGCCTGTAAAATATAATGATTTAATGCTTGATCTTCCTGGTGTTTTAAGGAATAGCCATGGACTGTGTAAGCATCCATCTTCTTTGTACAAGCATAAGTGTAACTGGCCTTCTTTTGAGATGTAGTCTGGTTCTCGTCTCCTCTTATGAACTTTTGTTGGATTAAATAAATGCACGTTTCAATACTAGTGATTTAAGGTTTTGTATTTTAAGCCATGATATATATATATATATATATATATATATATATATATTTGATCAGATTGCTGTTTAAATTTTAGAGGTGAGCCAGTCTTCAAGTCAAATTTAATTGGCATGCCATTGCTGAGCAACATACTAGGCGAACTATAATTTAATGATTTCTCAACCTTCCAATAAACAATGGCTTATATAAGTTGTTACATATTATTTATTTTCCTTCAGGAAATTCAACTTGTACTGTGGCGCCTATACTGGATGATAGTGCAGGAGTCTGTCATGGTGTTGTAGACCATTCAGCTAGTCCGATACATCCTTCCTCAAAACGATCCAAATTGTACACCATTCTTCATTTTGTTTAAATGAAATTTCATTGTTTTATGATCTATGATCAATTATTATGTGCACAAAACTTCCTGTTTGCCTGTGAAATTTCTCATCAATGTTTTCTTCTGGTTTTATGGTTTTTGGTGATCTTTTACTTCATTGTTGTGGCTACTTGTTCTTTTCACTTCATATGGGAGCTTGTGTCCTTGAATTTTTTCTAAATCTTAAATGTGTGTGCATATATAGATATATATATTTGGGAGGGTGGACATTCCGTACTTTGTTTTGCTAAGGGAGAGTTTACGAAGATTTTTCTATTTCTTTCTTTTGGTCCT